GGATTTAATTCAGTTACGGAGAGCATTTATGTATGTGTTTGGAGCAGCCGGTTATCTGTCAGGTGGACTAATTGGCCATTGCCTTGAAGGTTAGTCTGGAGCTTGTTCGTGGCTGGCTTCACTGAAAACAACCCCTTGAACTCCTGGCTTGGTCAATTCCTGTGACTTCTTCTTGCAAGCCCTGAAACTGGACCACCGGACTTATTGACAAACTTCAGTGGAGACCCCGGACCTCAGAGGGGATTTGGGCTGTTTATTTTTGGAACCTACCCAGGTAAAACCTTTATTTTCAAAACTGTTTTAGATTTGGCTGTAAGTTTATTTTGTTTTTGGATATCTACTTGGTTGCGAGCCAATTACTGTACTAACTTGCATCTGAGGGTTAACCAAAAACATGAAATGGAACTGTTGGGGGAACAGACTGAATAAAACTCTCGACACCAAACCTGTCATGTGGGTGAGGGGAGGGGCAGCACAATGGCTCTCTTAAGATTCCATCTCTATCACTGGATAAAGCGAGGAGGGCGACTCAAAGCAGTAAGCACCCCCAGCCCCAACAAAGTGAAAGAAAAAGAAACATGAGAACAGTGTCTACCCATGTCTCTTTTCCACCGCTGAACAGTGCACTTCTCCTAAAGGCCTCTGGGTTTGATACAGCCGCCTGCCCTGCCTCTTTCTGTGGTGCTCCTACCATATTCAGGGAGTGAGCAAGCAACAGAAGAGGTGGCCATCTAGGGCTCCCTTTCCGGGGCTACGCATGTGCAAGGGGGGGGGGGGGGGAGGAAAGCCAAGGCTGGGGTAAGCACTTCTGACAAGGCAATAAACAACAAGAAAGTCCAAACAAGCTGGCAAGAGTTTTATTCCTTCTCAGTGTAATGACAGCAAGAAGTAAAAAAGAATATCTGATTAAAGTCAGCTGAGTTTTTGCCGACTCAGAGCCTCATTTATCCAAATCCGTAAGTGCCCTGCTTCCAATATTCAGTCCCACCCTCTAGAAGCCAGCATCCCATTTGCTCCGCATTTCTCTAATGCCCACCACCACTCAAGCACCTCAAACACCTTAATAAACTTCAGATATCCTCCACCAGTGTCGCTACCTGCCACAGCAACCTCCAGGTGTTCATGATCTTCATTCCATAGCCCAGAGCCTCGGTTCCTCTGCAGTCATCTGTGCGTCATATCGTAGCTAGTCAGTCGACACCCTGCTAATGTAACTCAGCCACGCCTGCTGCCATCGGCACACAGATAGTCCATGTCAGCTGGCAAGCGGCCCAGTAAGTTTCCCATGGATGGGAGATCATGGCGGTGTCGTGCATGGCTCGAGCCGAGTGCGACTCTTGCTCCTTTGCAGAAATAGTGCCTTCACTCCCCCAGAGTGGAAGGAGGAGGGAGGGCACAGGGTCATCAGCACCTTTCCTCAGTGGTGTCTTCAAACTCATGGAGGATGCCAGGGCAGCTCCTCGCCTGCCTGATAGACTGTGGCACTAGGTGAGCCCAGAGAGACATGGGGGGGAGAGGGATGAATGGGCAACTGGGCTGACAGTTGGCTTCCAGTGCCAGAGAGGGCGGGGAAGGGAAGCAGCTGGGCTGCTGCTGCCTTTCATTGGGGCACTTGGAGCAAGACAGGGTTCCTCTTGCCATCTCTTCTCCCCCCCCCCCCATTGGGCATGGCAGGGCTTCCTGACCCTCACTTAGCCACCCACCCCCTTTATCAATACAATTGGGGGGGGGCAGGTGGATTCAGCTGATTCGACAAAGTTCACAAAAATTTAGCTAACGGTTCTGCCGAACCAGTGTGAACCGGCTAAATCCCACTACTGAGAGGGTGGACAAAAAAGCCACTGCTGCAGATTGTTTTTTTTTTAACCTGCCAGAGACTTTGGACAGAGGCTTCTCATTTTGATCCCGCCCCCATTGTTGCCTCTCTGCTCACTTCTCCCAGACCCCTGCACGTGTTTTGTTGTGTGTGTCTGTGTGTGTACGTGCAGGGGGGAGGTGTCTGGCAGCAGCGGCTCCACAGCCCACTGTGACTACTGCGTTGGCCCTTCAAGAAGCAGGCATGGTGACAGCGGCGGCACCAGCAGCAGGCAGAGTCAAGTGGGGAGGCATATGATGCAAATTACCGGACATGCCTGCTCCATCCCACGTGGCTGGGACAGGGAAAGCAGCTATCTGGTGCATGCAGCAGGCCTGACCAAGTACTTCCCTAATAAGGTATTAAGATTTAAGAACTGACTAGCAGCAGTAATAGCTGCCAGATGCTGTAAGTCTGATGAAATGTTAGGCTGATGAAATGAAGATGATTCAGTATAGCATGGGTATTTTCCTTTAAGAGGTGTTCATATAAGGCAGCCATCAGAGGGTGTGTTTTCTCTTTCCTTGTGTCCAGTATTCATTGCAGAGTTCTCTGTGTGTAGAGTTAAGAAGAAGAAAGCTTGCTTGTAAAGGTATTTGCCTACCACATATATGTCTGTATATAACTGTTGTATATAAACCACTGTTAAATATCTAAGTCTCTTTTGCTCCTGGATTGTCTCATAATAGCAGTCACGCTGCAAATGCTCTGACATCATCGCCACCCAGGCCCAGCCAGGATCGCGTGCCTCCATCTCTGCTGGGCCATGGCGGCAATGGGATCCAGCTTTCTCCACCTGTTGTGGCTGCCTTTTACTTGCTAGGCCGAGGCGTGCTTTACCTATACTTGGGCTTTCTAGCTCGTGGCTTCATCTCCTTTGGCTGGGCGGATCTGCTGAGTGGTGGTGGAGGCAGCCCTCAGGAGGGCTGAGGTGCATGAGGGGAACACATTCCCCACACAAGCCAAGGGAAATACCTGCAAAGGATCCAAAGCAGTGACTTTCTCTCCAACCGCAAAAACAGACAGTGGACAGAGTAAGGGCATTCAGTGGTCTGCATCATGTGCCTTCCTGCCTGCTGTTGATGCTGCCACCGTGCCTGCTGCTTGGATAGCCAGCCCAGTGGTGGCAGCAGGCTCCGGAGCCACAGAGTGTGCCAGCTGAGGGAAAGGGTAGCGAGCGCGCATCCCCACCCTCACCTCACCTCATGAAGACCTCTGGATTCCTTCCCCAACCCTCCCCGGGCCCCACAGGTGCCCCTCTTCATGAGTGATGTCGAGCTGGGTATGCCCCACCCAGTTGCTGCGACCACCCCAGCCCCTCTCCTCCCCTCCCACCCCAACGCCCTGAGGACAACCACATTGCTAATACAGCCCTCAATGAAATCGAATTTGACACTCCTGATATAATTCATTATATTCAGGAACTGTCACTGATTTTCTAGGGATAGAAATCCCTGTTTGATTTCCTAGGAACAGAAATTTTTATATAAAACACAGGTGGTTCAAAATGAATTATATTCAAAGGAGCTTTTGACTATAATGTAAATGTTGTACATTGTATATTTCAAAATGGTTTAGAAGCTCATTTTATATTTGGCTTCTTCACTCGTAATCTCAAATATTGGTCCACCAAATACATTTCAGCTGAAGTGAATTTGGTTCCTTTCTCTATTGACACTATTCTGTGCTCAAAGAAACAGCCTGACACATGGATATAATAGCATTTTAGCATTCTCTACCATCCTAGTACTCATCTATCATTATTTGATTCTTTCAAGTGAATTGATTGCTTTTTCTAAAAAAAAAAAAATTCACAATGGGCATTTATGACAGTTGTGTATAGTTCTGAATTGAGACACGCATGCAAATGGAAATGATGCAGTCATGATTCATCAACATGTTTTAAATAACTTTGCGTATGTCAATTTCATCAACCCGTCCCCTGAATAGATTGTGACATGAATTATTGACCACTTGTTCTAATCCCCTATATTTAATTCAAGAAAAGAGCTGGTAATTACCTTGAAGTTTTTTTATGGGGGAGGAAGCAATAACCCATTATTTTATACCCACCATTGAACAAGTGTTCCTTCTATATGGCTAGCAGCCACTTCTCAATTTTTCAATCCCTTTGTATCACTGTGTGATACTGCAAATATTTTCAGTTTTGCTTCCTTAAGCTGCCCAGCACTCCCACCAGCTGGCCAAGAGGAGCACTAAAATGTCAGCTAGCCAGCACCCTTTCCTTATTCTTCTTTTAATTATTTAAAAACAATTGTGGGGCAAAGGTGCTTTCAAGCCATAGAAAACATCGTGGGAAAAACAAAATACAGCAGCACTTTGGGGGCCCAGGGCCTGTTTTGTTGCATTACTGCCTCCCAACATGGAATCACCATTCCAAAGCCACAGTGGAAGGTATAGCAAATATGTCAATAAAGAGAGTTTGCTAGAAACCTCACACCCCAGAATTTAGATTGCTGTCTCTCTTGCAATCTACTGAACAGTATTATAACATTCTGTATTGACTTGGCCATTTGTGCATCTTTCATACGTTTGGGCCCCTTACACAAAGCAGATCAATCCTTTTCTTAATAAAGTATTAAATTTGAATCTGACCTGTTTTTTAAACAGGGTCACTTTTTTTATTATTGGTGGTAATATGAAGCTTTCTTGGCGCCGTTTTTCACCTGATCTTCCGAACCTGTCCCGCATAGCAACGCAAGTGGGACAGGTTTTTTTTTTCTTTCCTGGGCCCACGCACTTCCAAGTCTCCCCAAACGCTCTCGGCTTGTCCGATCCACGCTGGGCCAGAAATGGTGGGGAAACCTTTCCAAGAAAACAGTGTGATTAAAGGCTCAGAAGTACTTTTAATTAAAGAGATCCTATGCCAGGGAGGGAAGGAGAGCCGAGGGTGGGCGAGGGGGCGAGTAGATGGGCCGGATCCAGGCACTAGCCTGGGGCGACTGAAGGGGCGGGAGCTAAGATGTCCTAAGGGAAGGGAGAGCCGGCTGGTCTACCAAAGGGAGCAAGCAACACCCCTTCGGAAGACCTCTCGCTCTCTGCCCTCCTCCAGCCGACTCCCTCTCGGGTGAGGAGGCGCTCCATGCTCCTCCCGCCGAGGGAAGCGGGAGTTCCAGGAAGTAGTAGATATAGGCGGGTAGGACGGCTTGAGCGCCGAGAGCTCGGTTGGCAGTCGGTCTTCTCCTCCACCTCGGAGCCAGGGACTCCTTCCTCGAGGCGGGGCAGTCTCCCGCCCGCCTCAGCCCCCTTTTAGGGAGGAAAGGAAAGGAAGGAAGGCAATAGGGAGGGGCGGAAAGAACAGAAGCAAAGAGGAGCCTCTTCTCGACTGGGGTGGAGGGAGCGAGCGCGACGGCGGCTCCTCGCGGGAACAAAGAGGCGCGAAAACGCGAAGGCTGAGGGGGGAAAGGGGGGCACTCCTCGTCTCGCTCCAACGGCCGCGGAGATGGTGAGTTCTGGGAACGGGAAGTGGAGGGCACGTTGATCGCGAGTAGCCTCTCCCGATTCTTAGCCCCTGGAAGCGGTACTTCGCGCCGGGCCGCAGCGAGGCTCTGCGGTGGCGACGCTCTCCTGGGATAGTTCTTTCCACGGCGTTTAAGGTCCTGTATTCGCGACTCGTCCACCTTTGGTAACCAGACAACAGCCACTGAACCTCGGTAGAGACCGCATTAGCCCCCCAGCTGTCTCCCGGCAAGGCGTGTATTTCCCCGAGAAACGGCCGGGTCTTGTCTCGCCTCTCGCTTGTGGAGATAGGTTTGGTCTCCGTCGTAGGCTGAGCAGCACATCGCTACAACGCAAGCTAGGCACGTATGGGAAGCCATAATGTTTAATTTACACTGTCCAGGTTTTCAGAAGCACGGCTTTTTATCCTGTTCCATTTTGTTCCATTATTGCTGCTGCTGTTTTGTTTCACCCAAAATAAAATATTCGCATCTTTCCTATATGCACTGGAACCAGTTGAAGGATTTCCCCTAGATTATTTGGCCTTGTAGTGAACTCTTAGTGAAGTAGCTTAGTGAAGTATCTGTTTGATGGTTCTCATCAAATCTTAAGGCATCATCATCTTGCTCTATGTTAGCTGCTGTCCTTTGCTAGGAACCTTCTGTTATTGGCTCCTGTGCAGATATGTATTTTAGAATGGACAACTGGAAATAATTTAACATCTATCTGTCTATACAATGAATGTATTTAAAGTAACCTTGCCAATGAGAATAATTTCATTTTTACCAGAGTGCTGAAAAATAATCATTTGCTGAGTGTGTTTAGATTTCTGTTAAATATTGCTCTTGCAATTTTCATCAGATCAACCCATGTTGATGCCTTACTGGAGTACAATATAATGTCTCCAACAGCACATCAATCTTATTCTTTTGGGTGAAAGTTCGATTAGCTTCCCTATTTTTTCAATGTCAATTTTTTTTAATATTTTATTTTATTCTAGAAAAAACATTTATTTGACATACATTTAAAACAGACAAATCAACACATATATATACATATACAAATATCTACATATACATAAATTTTATAATATATATTGAGCAATGGTTAATTTTTTTTCTTTATCTTTTTTTCTTCAGTCTTATCATTGACTTGATCTGCCTTGTTACCATAACGCCTTCATTCTTTTAATGTTTTAATTTCTCCATATAGTTTGTGATTAAATGCACATCTTCTGTCATTTCCATAACTTATCAGAAATATCAAATATTACCTTTTCTTTAACCACTATGGTTAAAGTGGTTCAATGTCAATTTTAAGAGATAATTGTTAATTATAGTATGTTGCATCCAGTAATAGAATGTCTTTTTGTTTTAAGGCCAAATTTTTGTGATCAAGTTGTTTCTTTTTCATAATTTACATTGAATTTTCAGATACTGTATGCAGATTTTAAAATATATGTTCATTACATTACTTTTGTTTTAAAAAGGAAAATGACTTAAATTCCATATTTGAAAATATGAAATGAAGATTGCTAGCAGCAGTAATTAATGTGGACTGTGTAAACTTAAGAGTTTGAAAGTTAATGATACTGTGATCTTGGCCATTATGCTAACTTCCTCTGTTAAAAGGCATAACAATACCTTGTAATGATGCTATTTCAGTTAAGAAGGCACTAATAAGATTTGTTCTTTTAGATCCCTAGTGTCCAACATTTTGTCATTATAGGAGCTGTAGAGAAAGTTGATATAAAAAAACTATTATGGAATTTATTCTCAAAATACATCATGTCTCCAGATAAATATTAAAGCAATGAAGCCTGGACTTTAGATGAGAACACTGAAAGCATTTTTGTTTATAAAAACTTTTGTTTTTAAAGTTTGATTGATTTGTTAGGCTGTCTCAAAAGAAACACAATTTTTCCTATGTTGGAATGCCATTCTCCATTTTCGTTTGTATTGATGTTTTTTTTTCTCTTTCTCAATTTTCAGAAAGAAGAGTGAAAAGGCATGGATATAACATGAATTACTTAACACATTCAGAAAAAATAGGAATTATTTCTCAGTTAGCTAAATAAAATGGATGAGTCGGTCTTATTGGATCTGTTGGAGTGTCCTGTCTGTTTAGAACGTCTGGATGCTTCTGCAAAAGTCTTGCCTTGTCAACATACATTTTGTAAAAGATGTCTCTTGGGCATTGTGAGCTCACGCAATGAGCTTCGTTGTCCTGAATGTAGGACATTAGTAGACTGCAATGTTGATGACCTTCCTAATAATATTTTGCTTGTTCGACTACTAGATGGCATCAAACAAAGGCCTCAGAAATTGACTAATTTAATGACATGCACAAATTTATTAAGGGCCCAAACTAGCACTGTTGCTAATTGCATTCAAAAAGACCTACATAGTTCTCAAAGTGTCCAGCAACAGAGAGTACAAGCACGAAGTCCACCTGTTAGGGTAAGTGACCAGTATGCTAAAAATATAAATGAAACCATAGTTTTGGGGATGTTTGACCATCCAAGAAAAGTAGAATTATGGTGTGATGATGTTCATTCAGAGGGCTCACCTAGAAAATTCAATAGTATTTTAGCTTAATGAAAAGAAAATTAGACATAATTTTAAATACTGTATTTTTTGGAATATAAGACACACTTCCAAAACAGTGGGTGGAAATGTCTGTGCATCTTATACATCAAATATTGCGTTGGAGAGGGAGTGGGATTGGTGTGGCACCGATCAGCTGTTCTAGAACGGGCCATGGCGAATGGGTGGCAGCAAACAGTCCGCTGTGAATGGTTCATGGGAAATGGGCTGTGGCGGCAGCGAACGTGCCACGGTGAATGGGCCACGCTGGCAGCAGCAAATGGCCCATGGTGAATGGACAACGGCAGCGGCAAATGGGGCTGCGGCAAATGGGCCAGATGAATACTAGATAGATGCTGGGAGTCAGGCAGATTTTTCTTCTTTTCCTCCCCAAAATCTAGGTGCATCTTATACTCTGAAAAATACAGTATATGGGGGGTGGGTCACATGGAGCATTGACTGTACTAGTGCTTTGTTGCTTCTGAAAGCAATGGGGGAATCTAAAAGTAAAAATTGAAGGAAACACATTTTGGTTAAACTTTAGAAAATATAATAGAATTGTTCGTTTATTGATGGAATTTATTTCTATGGCTACATTGTTGAAAGGAGTAAGAAAATAATTGGATGACTATCTTCTAGGGTTATTGTAGTTTTCTTGCATTATAGATCTTACACTCAATGCTACAGCGACTGTTGGAAGCAATAATCCAAAATACTTATTGGTAATATCATCTGCAGCAAAATGATGCCAGCATGACAATACATGCACAATATCATCGTGGAAATACTGCCATTAGGTACTTGCAATCCAAAGCCAGACACAAATATTTAAGTTGTGACATTTGCATGATGTTTATTCCTTGTCATTTGCCCCTGCAGAATAAGCAATTGCCTGTATTAGATTAATATCCCTGGATTACATTATCACCAATACATTCCTTCCTAAATAACATTTATTGGTAGTTGATAAAAAAAATCCTATGTTTCTTTAGCATAGGATTGCATTGTTTCTTGTGCCTGCTTTCTCTCCCTGAACTGAGGATGCTACAGACAACTGTTCTTCCACATTTTGCATTTCAGTTTCAGTATTTTAATATTATACCTTGCCAATTAGTTATGTGTAACTTTCTGTAGTTTTTTTCTTGGCTTTAATTGTCTAAGCTAAAAATTACATTTGTCAGATTCCTGCCTCTCAGTTTCTGGTGACTAAAGACATTTCAGATATTTCTCTAGAACAGTTGAGGAAATCAATCAGACAACAGAGTCTTTAAATTTATTGTCACACAACAAAGATGCTTAATGCAAGAACAACAAAATTTCTGACTGTTTCTATTGTTGGAAGAAATGTCCATCTGGGTTCAGTTCCAAATGGGAAGAAAGACACTGGAAACATGGAGATTGCTTGGAAAGATGGTTTAATGGTGGACAGCAGAACCACATGATTCGAGGTCCTGGGCAAAAAAAAGAGAGGAAGAGAGATTTATAACCTCTGTTGGGCTTTGAACTTGCTTCCTGTTCCTTGCTTCCTGTTCCTGTGGCAAGAAATATATCCTGATTTGTTGTCAGACTCCCAGGCGCCATGCAGGGGTAACTTTGTAGGTTGTCTTCTTGAGTCCCAAGCCTGGTTGAATCTTGCTAGGTGATGTAATCTTCCCAGGTGTCATGTGGTGAAGTGGGTAGAAAGCTAATCCTATCATGTCCTGAGGGCCATGTCTTAATCTCATCACCCTGGAGCGAAAGGTCTTTTGTATTGTAGATACGTCTTTTGTCTTTCTGGAGCCATTAACAAAGGTGGGGACTGTTTTCCAAGAACAGATTTCTCAGGTATATTCTGCCTTTTTAATATTTCCTAGAATATTTCATTCTTCTGAGGAGAGGGTGGGTGCTCACTAGGATGCTAGTTAGTTTTTCATGTATATCCACTTATTCTTTTAATTTAGGGGAAAAAAACCTTATATACGAACTGTTCCATTAAACTTGTATAGTTTCATTTAAGGACTTAAATGTTTTGAGTTTCATTAAGTAAGAATAGTCAATACTCATATTCTTATACTGAGGCTTGACTTAATTTCATGGCAATTCATAGCCCTGAACGTATCAAAGTTTGTTTCAACTTTATCCAGAAATTAATTTCATAAGATGATTTATATCATTTTATTTTTGCTTAGTGGAAGGTCAGATTAGATTCCTTAAAAAGGTTTGCCTGTCATCCAGTAATATTTGCATGTGCACTGCCTCTGGGTATAGTTTGAATTTGCTGTGCAGTGATTAAGTGCTTCATCAGTTTTGAAGAATGCATTGTAGTTAGACTGAGAAATAGTTCAAATAATATAAGGAGTGAACAGAAACTTAAAAGCACTCAAGTATTTAAAGTATTTTTATTTAGTTCCTTGACTTCCCAAACTTAGAACATAGACGGTTATATCCTGTAGAGACTAGCTCCCCAAGATGCAGTTGGTTGCTAAGAAAAGGAAAAAAATCAATTAAATTTTCACCCATTATCTCTAAACAAACTTATGGTTACAATCCTTTTATCTTTTACCTGTTTCTCCGTTTCTTGTTTCTGTCTTTTACAAGGGATTCTGCAAAGGTACATAAGATAGCTTTGTTATATTACAAATAGAAATAACTTTAGAAAATATGATGATGGATAAAATATTTATTGTAATGCAGTGGGGTGTTTGTTAATAAATGAATTAAAATGATTGAGAGAATTAAAAGGGAACATTTTTAATTATTAGTAATGATTTATAAAAATATGAGAAATATGGGAAAAAAAAGAATTAACTATGGAAAGTTTATAAGTGTTCCCAAGGAAGTATGATATTCAATTGAAAAGAAATGTTAAAGATGTTAAGATTTTAATGCATATTAATGATTGAATTGGAATGGAATGTGTTTTATTTACGTACATATGTATGTATGCATATGCATATGCATATGCATATACATATACATATACATATACATATATATATAAGAATATAGTGTCTCTTTTAAGAATGTACCAAGCAGAATTCGATGGGAAGTTATGTATTATATTGAATGCTATAATCTTAAAGCTATACATTGAAGCTTAAATAAGAGCTTGAATGGATAAAATTAAAGGATATAAAGGTGTCATACTCTAATTGGTAACTACAGGGAAAAATTTGCTTAATAAGAAAAGATAATGTGAAATTGTAACAGGACAGACAAAAGTATAAATATAATGATTTGAATTGAGATAATTAAAACAAAGTTGAGAAAATTAGAAGAGGGGAAAAACTATGTAGAAAATATAAAATGGTAATAAGATATGGAATAGAATATAAAAATGAGCATGAAATTGAGTTTTGTGTCTGTATGAAGAAGTGATAACCTGGGACCATGCTATTTTCAAAAAAAGATGTTTTATTTGTATTTTGTTTTTGTGAAAACCCAAATAAACTTTCCAAAAAAAAAGAAAAGGAAAAAAATCAAAAACTGTAAGATCCTTTTTATATTATAGTGTAGCAGAGGTAAACAATGTGAAGTGTTGGATTACAACTCAAGTTCCCACTAGCATGAGTTGGATCAGGAGTATGAGAATTGCAATCTAATATAAATAAATGCCTTGCATGTAATTTGTCTATACCTTTATTTCATTGTAATTTATCCAAACAATGTAATTCCAGTGCCAGGCCAAACCTGATAAATGTGTCTTATTTAGAAACGTTCTTTTGAATATTATATTGGGATGTGTTTTACTCTTCACTTGCCTTGTATCTAAATTGTGAGCCTTTCAGTAACAGTTGTCCTCCATGATAGATCATGTCAAAGACATTTATTTAAGCCTTCTACACGCATTCAAGATTGCCCACAAAGGAAGAGGTTATTTTTCTTTTTTTCTGAAAAAAAATTATAATGAAAATAAGCTTTAAAAAAGCAATTCTAAGAATCAAAAGTAGTCAATTTAACCAGTGTTTCTCAGTTTTGGCAACTTTTATATGTGTGGTCTTCAACTTCGAGAATTCTCCAGCCAGCATGCTGGAGAAGAAGCCCAAGAAACACCTGTTTATACAACCTGCTTGTTGTAACATTCTGCTTATACAAATGCTATGTGTTTCTTAAAAACCCAACTGTTTTAAAGAGTTTAGCGTTCTATGCAAATAACTTTTTCAAAACTTTTAGAGAAAAATAAATACTTCTGACTATTTTGCTATTTGGAATCTATTCTGGGACACTAATCAACATTTATTCCTATATGCTTTGCAGAAAAGGAAGTGCAGTTTCATTTTTATTGTGATTAAGTGATGTAAATACGGGATATGTTTAGCCAATATTAAATTGCTATACTACACAGTTCTGCTTAAATTAAACTTCTTTCAGAAAAAATGTATAGCCTTTTAAAGTCTAATTTATCAAATAGTATATAGCCAATAAGAATATTTTATAGAGGTTAATTGTTATATATCTTCATCAGGTCAGTTCAACTAGTTCCTTTGAAATTGAGAATTTAATTCATGCTTTTTCTTCTCCTTTTTAACAGCTTGTCTTTTCTCTTTAGTTCAATTAGAGATCTAATATCTTCCATTTATTATTGTATTTTAATTTCTACCTTAGATCTATCATACAGTATTTTATGAATCAGTAATGTTTTGAGATAAAATAGAGTGATTATTTTTAGTGTTGGCTATGTTAGGAATTATGCTTGATTTCGTAGGAAATATCCTGATTTGTGAATTAGCTCACATATTCTGAATACCTGTAGGGATTCCTCATACCAGCATCCATATAGGTATGAAGGATGTATATGCTTGAAAGTGGTGAACAATTTCCTCATTGCTTTCTTGTACAAACAGCACCAGTATCACATGATTGCCATGATGTCATTCATATAAAGATCAAAAAGA